AAACGTCAGCCTCTCTGCTCCTATGATGCTGCTTGGCCTGCTGTGTTTATCCAGCTCTGCACCTTGTTGTCTTGGATTCTCCAGCATCTGCAGTTCCTACTATCTCTTGCTTACTATGATCTGCCTGTGCTGCTCGTAAACATAATTTTTTCACCATACTTTGGTACATGTGACAATAAATCAATCAATCAAATGAGCCTCCTGCTTGAGAGAGGTGGATATTTCAAGAAAATATTTAAAACTGGTTTTAATTAAGAGCCTGATATAAAATTAATTAATTTCACTATAGAATATAATGACTTACTCGACAGCAGCAGAAATCACAATTTACAACAAAAAATGCAAAGTTTATTCAACTGTTTTCTTCAAATTATGAGTACATAATTCTAGCATTCACAAAGAGAATGGAGACTCTGTTATCTTTTTATTAAGAAAAGCAGCATTTTACCCTATCCGAAAACCCAACTCTTGTTGAATGGCAGAATGGGCTCGAGGATTTGAATCTCGTTCTGGTGTTGATGTTTCTAGAAAATGAAGATGACCACACCTGAGATGCTGTACCAGCATCGCTGTGGTTTATGTGATACACTGAGTAATGCAAATGTGCAACGTCCATTGAATAAAACTTAGCTTTATCAAAATTTTAGGCCAAGTTATGTTTCAGGTGAGGCCTATAGGCAAACAGTGGTGATCACTCCATCCCATTTGATACAGTAGGGTTTGAGTGTGTTTTGTGTTCATTCACAGGATTCACATTTATTTCCCAAATAACGGTCAACCACATTGCTGTGGATCTGGAGTCACATGTAGGCCAGATCAGGTAAGGATGGCCACTTTCTCCAGATGAGTTTTTCGTAGGATCTGTACAGTGTGGAAACAGGCCATTCAGCCCATTGAGTCCACACTGACCCCCTGAAGAGCATCCCAAACAGACCTACTCCCTATCCTATCTCTGTAGGCCTGCATTTCCCATGGCCAATCTATCTAACCTGCACATCTTTGGACTGTGGGAGGAAACCGCAGCACCTGGAAGAAACCCACACAGACACAGGGAGAATGTGCAAACTCCACACAGATAGTCGCCCGAGGGTGGAATTGAACCTGAGTCCCTGGTACTGTGAGGCAGCAGTGTTAACCACTGAGCCTTCCCCTTCCCTGACAATTGACAACGGTTTTACGGTCATCATTAGAACCTTTATTCCAGATATTTTATTGAATTCAAATTCCAGCATCCGCCATGGTGGGATTTGAACTGGGGCCCCCAGGACATTACCTGGATTAACAGTCCAGTGATAATACCATGAGGCTGTTCCCTCCCCTAAGAAGCAGTGAGAAGCATTGCTGAACTGTAGCCCCACAAGCTGTACCAAGGAACCAGGGCAGAAGACCCAAAACGTGGGCTTTCCTGCTCCTTTGATGCTGCCTGGCCTGCTGTGTTCCTCCAGCTCTACACTTTGTTATCTCAGAAGATGTGGTCTTCCCTTTGGCTCTTCAGAAGGGCACGAGTGGAGTAATTAGGCATTTGGAAGTTCCACATGTATTGTCAACATTACCACATCCTGAAACACTGGGAACTGGCAACTGAAAGTCAGCGTTTGTTTACAGAATATATAATTGACTGCATTTTAACTTCTAATTACTTTCCTTGATATATGAATTGAAATGATTTGAATGTTCGGCAAGTTTCCATTACCTTGGTAACTGGATGTGAAGACACACAGTACTTTTTTCCTAATTGAGACCCAAAGGCATGAATGTTTATGATTGAGTGTGCAAAAAAGAAACGTTAACAATCTCTCTACAAAATATTAAAGTGCACGTAAAGCTAATTTAGCTGAAGGCCATAAAACTTCAGAAAATAGCCCACAAATTAGGAACTTGGAAAACACACTGGCGACGGAAATAAAAACGGAAAGTGCTGGAGTAGCTCAGCAGGTCTGGCTGCATCAGTGGAGATAGAAGCAGAGTAAATGTTGCGGGTCGATGACCTTTCATCAGAAGAAAGATAAAAAAGCAGTGTTTTTAGGCAGCATAATGGGGTTGGGTGTTATATGAATGAAAGGGAAGGCCTGTGATAGGAAGGGAGAAGGATGCATGAAATGAAGAAGGAGTTCGGAATGGGTGTTGTAAAGGAATCAAAGGGTGTCTACAGCAGCTGTGTACGACAGAATGACATACAATCATCTGAAAGGAACTACAGAATAACAAAGCTAAAACCTTTTCTTTATTCATTCATGGGATGTGGGTGTCACTGGCTGGGCCAGCATTTTATTGACAAACCCCTCGTTGACCTTGAGAAGGTGCTGCCTTCTTGAATCACTGCAGATTCTGGGGTATATGGGTTAGGGAGGGAGTTCCAGGATTTTGCTCAGTGACACTGAAGGAACAGTGATGTATTTCAAGTCAGGATGGTGAGTGGCTTGGATGGGAACTTGTTCCTATGTATCTGTTGCCCTTGTCCTGTTAGATGGAAGTGGTCATGGGTTTGCAAAGAGCTGTCTAAGGAACCTGGTGAATTTCTCCAGTGCACCTCGTAGATGGTACACACTGCTGCTAAGAAGTGGAAATAAAATAGATGCAGGGACTCTGGTATGAAACTGATGAACTCAAAAGTTGAATCTAGAATAATTCCTAACTTTGTACAAATTCTCTGTACTTAAATTCCAAATAAAAACGAAGCATTTTTATAGATTGAATAACGGACCAAGCCTTTCCCAGGGTCTAACTGGAACAGGTTCAAATTGAACAGTGGAGTCAGATTAATAAATTATTGATAAACAGCTGAATAAAGCTGTCGGAGGTGCACAGTACAGGGCTTAAGTTCTAGAGGAACAGAATTAAAAAGCAAGTCGAACTTTATTGATCTCTTTCTGCACCTTCTCTGCTGCTGTAACATTGTGTTCTGCACTCTGTTCAGTTTCCCTGCTGTATTTTGATGGTACGATCTGCCGGCATAGCACATATCTCGATAAATGTAACAATACTAATACTAATCATTAATAATAAAGCCTTGAGTAGTGAGAACCTCAAAAGTGCTGTATGTAGCTTCGGCCTCTTATATTACAAAGAAAACAGGAAAGCACAAATGATGAGCAAAAATGATTTGCATTGGTGACACCTGAAGTGAGAAGATATAGTTTCAGTAAAGACTCAACAGACTTGAACTCAGGACTTGTGGGCAGATGGAGAAAAACAGAGTTAACGTTTCAAATACAGCTTGAATCTTCCCTGGAAGAGATATGCAGAAGAAGAAGAGTGGAGGGAG